TGCATACATAAACAGATATACATATATATATATACATATATACACATATATACACATACATATATCTACATATACATACATATATACATATATACATACACATATACATACATATATAAACATACATATACATATACATACATATATACATACATATAGATGCACATAAACACATACATATATATACATATATATAGATACACATACATGTAGATATATATACATATGGATATATACATATACATTTATATATACATACATACATACATACATACATACATACATACATACATACATATATATATATATATATATATATATATATATATATATATATATGAATATATATATGAATATATATGTTCATACACATACATATGGATATATATATATACATATGGATATTTACATATACATATATATATATACAAACAGGTATATATACATACATACATACATACATACATACATACATACATACATACATACATATATATATATATATATATATATATATATATATATATATATTCATATATATATGAATATATATGTTCATACACATACATATGCATACATATATAGATGTACATATATACATATACATATATATATTTATACATATATGCATACATACATATACATATAAAAAATACACAAATACATACATAAATATATATACATATTTATATACTGTATGTGTGTGCATGTGTGTAAAGGCTTCCTTGCCATAAAAATACACCCATACAAAGACAAGTAAATTCCAAAGAAAAGATGCACATTGACAATAGTAACAAATCTGGTATTAATAGCCTTTAACAGCTACAGGCCTGATTTAGTACTTTTAGACACTGGATATTAATTGTAGGAATATTTCTTTAATTCAAATTAATGGCTTCTACCTCTGGGCTCCAATCCTAATTTTTCTCTTAACCCATTCGCGCCGGGTGTCACGTATATGTGACAGGCCCACTGTGAGTTTATTTGTTTAATTGTTTTTACACATAGATGGCTACACTTGTACTTGTATGGCCTGTGTCGTCTGTTTACCCTTTTCTTTAATTTACGAAAATATTTTACGTTATCTTATTTTGCTGTTACTAATGTTCATAACATTATAGTAATTATAATGTTTTTAATAAAAATAACCATCGATATTCATAGCACTAGTAAAAAATACATTTTCTCGCCAAATGAAATCAGGTAAGGCAGAGCCATCTAGTGTAGAGGAATTTCACAAAAAGTAAAAAAAAATGAGCACAGCATTTTTCCCCATTTTTTGTTCGTTTTTACCCGGTGTGAATGGGTTAAGTGAATGGTGCCCATAAATATGTTCAGTGCTCTGGGATTGGCTAGCAATCCCGCACTTTATTATCTTTATTCTGGCAAGACGGAATTTTAACTAGTAACTTTATATAATTAAGAAAATGACACAATAATCGGAGAAAACAATGTAAAAATCAGATGACGAAAACAAAAGAGCTAATCAGAAATAAAACTGAAATTCATATATATTAAGATTTTGCAGACCAGGGAAGGGATGTTCATACCCAGAAAGGGTATTTTCATCAGAATTAGCTATTGTGAACGTACATTACATTAACAAAATTACTGAATGACTTTCTTCAATCTTTCTTTATACCTCATTATTTTTACAGTACATATCATGTCCCCCATAGATATTAGGACAGTTACATGGTTATGGTTTAGTATGGATGGGAATGAAAGTTGAATTTATTTGATGAATCCAACATGAGGAAAGCCATCATATCATGTTTTGCTTTATTTGCAGGAAAACTGTTGCTCCAAATTCATCACTACGGCTTTTGAACATTATGCATCAACTGCAATCTGATAAAACCAAATTCGCAAATAATATTGATATGCAGCCTTTCGACAAATTTATCTAATATATGAATATGTACATTTCCACAGACTGCCACAAAGGCTAAAATCAGAACCATAATTCCTGAAATATTGGGTATTTTTTGTTACAATAAGGACATACTTGCCAGAGACAAAGTCCCCAACTACATGTCCAAAACTTTATTCAACAATTTAAGTTGCCATGCCTGGGCTCTGCCCCAACACCCCAGGAAACATTGTCTTCAACTTGTATGTACAGCAAGAATCTCAGGAGCACTCAGTGGACTTAAGCTGTGAGCGGAACTTTCCATGATCTTTTACTGACTACTACAACTTTTTCTGTACAAAAATATCATCTTCAATTTGCCCGACCTCTGTGCATCCAAATTGTAAAGATTAACCAAAAATTGAACTGTGTTGTAATGAAAAACATGAAACCACTCCAAAAACACTTTCAAGAATCACTGTCTTCAAACCAACATATTAATGTGGCACTGTGTATGGAATGGACAGGGCTATCACAAAATAGTTTTTTTTTTGTACATTTTAACTGGGCTTTCTCAGACTATATTCAGATCTTCAAATCTATTCTTGTGTGATGAGGAATCTGACACTTATTTCCAATGCAAATACA